CCTACACTAACTGAGCTCTCCATACCTATGTGTATTCAAGAAGAGGCAGGCTGCTCTTCTATTTGGAGGTGTTATAGAGGGGCTCCTAGGTGATTTCTAAATTCATACTGGAATCCCAAATATTCTCTACTGTTCAATCATTCAAACACACACACACACACACACACACACACACACGTCAGGTGAAGGATTTGCCATAGACCTGATCAATTGATCTCATAACAAACCCATAAAAAAGAAGTCATGAGATATTGGCTGGCCATCCTAATAGAACACATGAGTGATTAGAGCTGGTGTTGATGGGATTGGTCCAGAAAGCATACTCTGTATTCTACACCTTTTCTATCATCCCACACTGCTGACATTTATTCATGATTCAGCCTTCCTTAAAACTTCTACATCTTGATCCCATGGAGCAAAAGAGATGAGTTTTCTCCTTTGTCTACATGACACTGAGACAAAGTCCCCTCTGAGTCCCCAGCATATGTGCAGGAGGAGTGTGAAAGTGAGGCTTTGGCAAATGCTTGATGACATTATTTCATAATAGAAGGGCCAAGTTTATCCTCCTGAAGCAAAGGGCACAACACTAACAAATGCCAGAGAAAATGTCTGGGGTGTAGATTTTGCTGTCTTTCAAAGCTTCCGGTTTAGGCATTCACTTATCTGACACTGAGAACAATGTGACATTTTTAGCAACAGGATGTCTGTTCGCACAGGGTAACATACCTCATTTTGTGTTCTCTCTATATATAAATTTGTAGGAGGTAAATTAAAACATATGCAGCTTATAAAACAATATGTTTTATTACCAGATACAGAGAGAATTAAAATTCCTAATGGTAGGCTGCAGTTTTCTTCTTACACTAATGGTCAGACTTTAATGAAAACAGCAAAAGTATGTAAATGAAACTTCCAGAACACTAAAGTTTCCTTTTCACCTCTCAGTGTAGAGCATTTTTGTTTCTTGGGACTGCTAATTTCTTGGGAGGATAATTCTTTATAATAGAGCATATATTTGGCTAATTCATGATGTGTAGCTGACAGCTCTTGGCATTTACTGAGACTTCTTGCAAGAATGTGGAATGTAAGTATTTAAAACAAAAAGGTCACCACCGTGAAAGGCCATTAGGTGGAAAATGAGACAAAAGTAAAGTGTATCACAATAGGCAAGATGTGCAAACATGTCTAGACACCGATCAGTGGATGAATGGATAAAGAAAATGTGGTATATACAGACAGTGGAAGATTATTCAGCCTTAGAAAAAGAAGGAAGTCCTGTCATATGAGACAACACGGGTGAACTTTGAGGGCATTATCCTAAGTGAAACAAGCCAGTCACAGAAGAAGAAATACTGCATGATTCCACGTATATGAGGGCTCTCAAATAGTCAGGCTCATAGAAGCAGAGAGTGGAAAGGTGGTTGCCATGGGTGGGGGACATGGGGAGATGGGAGTTGCCGTTCACAGGTGGAGTTTCAGTTTTGCAAGAAGATGACGTGATTACATTCTAGAGATCTGTGGTACAACATCACGCCCATAGTTAACGGGACTCCATTGTACACTTTAAAATGTGCTAAGTGGGTAGATCTCATGTTAAATATTCTGACACAATTTAAAAAACTCAGAACCGCAACAGGTTTATGCCACCTTTTGGGAAAGTGTTATGAAAGACTATACACTGTCATCTCGGAACCAACTGTTGGTTGGATGAAACAAACTTTTATCCACCCATTCAAAGAATGTACTATTGAAAATAATATATTTCCTTTTCCCAATCAGATGCATAGTTTGGAAAAAGGATATTATTTTAAAATAACAACAGTTATTCCATAGTGAGGGATTATTATGTAGCAGGCAGTGTCTTATTCAAACCCCACAGCAATAGTGTGAGATGAATGCTATTATTATCCCCATTTTATAGATGAAGGAAGTGAGGCTCAGGGAAGGGGAATAACTAGATGAAAGGTCTTACATTAATAACCCCTTAAGGAGCTGATTGTCCAATTGTTCTCCTCCCAGTCTCTCTTAAACTCACAAGAAAGTTCCCCTCCCCACTTCTAGGTCAGCGGTAGGTTAGCAGACCTCATCTTACACATGTACTGTCAGCAGCATTTATGCAGTTAATCATCTCTCCTCGATACACTTTCCTCACTTTCCTGGATTTCCTCCTCCCTTGAACCTCCTTAGCTGATTCCTCCTCTTACTGTTGGGATGCCCTTGGGCTCAGTCCTTGGGCCTCCTCTTTTCTCTGTAGTCATGCTCTGGTCATCTCATTCAGTCTCATGGCTGCAAAACCATCTATAAGCCGATGGCTTAGATCTCCAACCTGGACCTTTCACCTGAACTCCAGACTCATATATCCAACTACATAGTGGACCTCTCCATGTGGATGTCTCACAGACACCTCAAACTTACCATGTCCCAAATGGAACCTCTGATCTTTCCACAAACCTGCTCTACTCACAGTTATCCAGTCTCAGTGCACAAAGCGTGGCAAATTCCATTTTTCCCCGTTGCAAAGATGCAAAACTTTGAAGTCAGTCTTGACTCTTCTCTTTCCCTTACCTCCAACATGCAATCTGTCAGGAAGTCCTATTTACTCTACTTTCAAAATACATTCAGAATTCGATTTCTCACCACCTCCACTGTTTCCACCCTGCTCGGAGCCACCGCCATTCACTTAAGTTGTTGCCATAGCCGCCTACCTACCTGGCCTGCCGACTCCCCTTCTTGCCCTACTATAGTTTGTTCTCCACTGAGCTGCCAGAATGATTCTGTTAGAATATAAGTCAAATGATGACAGCCATAGCCTTAAAATCCCCCAATGACTCCCATTTATATTGAGAGTAAAAGTTGAAATCCTTGCAATGGCTTCTAGGAGCATCTGGCCTCTGGCCTCTGTTACCTCTGACTTAACTTCCTCTTACCTACACCTCACATAATTCCTCTCCTTCCCTATGACTCCCTTGCTGGTCCATGAGCAGCCCCAGAGTGCTTCAGCCTTAAAGCCTTTACACTAGATATTCCCTCTGCCTGGAATGTTCTTCCCCCTTCAAAGCTGTTCTATCTACTGCATGAAGACTCTTTGACTCTCCTATTTAACATGGACTCTGCTCCCCACATCCCTGCTCAGTGCTGCTTAGTTTATTTACATAATCTCCTTCTAATGTATGTAGTAATCTACTTATCTAAGTTTTTATTAATATTTGTCCGCTCTACCCCCAACAAGACTTTAATCATCAATGGTTTCAAATGCAGCTCTGTGACTAGAACAGACGACACATGCCCAATAAATATTTGTTGAATGAATAAAAGTGACAGCATCTCAAATCTTAACTTGTGGCTCATGGTGATTCCCTGAGGATTGTATTATGAAACCAACTGTCTCCGGTCAGCCTGGACGGTGACAAAGCCATAGGGAAGAAAGTTATCAACTTAAGTTTCCAAACATAATAAAATGATTTAGAAGAACCAAACTATGTCAGATGAGCGAACTGAGCTGTGAACGTGGTAGCATTTGCTCTAATTGCTCCTACACCTGCTTCCAGGGACACGTCCTGGGACACAAGTAAGTCTGTTGTCTGACACTAGCCCAGCCGTGTCTGTGGTGTCTCAGCTTGACTTTGCTCCCTACCTCATGGGATTGTGGAAGTTATTAATAAATGTGAATAAGTTGGAACAGCATCTGCATATAGTAAACTCTTAGTATTTGTTAGGTGCTATTATTTCATAAGGGCTTTTAGAAAATACTACCTTTATTCAAAGAATTTACTCTAATGAATGAATTTTGCATAACATGATTAGCTGATGAAGGAAATGTTTTAGTAGAGGTATAGAAATACCCACTTGTCTTTTTAATCATCTAAGCTTAAGGTTTCCGCTTCATGGGTGTGGCGGGGAGGAGAGGATTTGGGTGTCAATCAGATGCCTGTTGAAGATTTTCTATAAAGCTTAAAAATATATCTCTTCAAGGATATGTCTTGAATGATCTTTAATAGCACAGCTACAGGAAATAGTATTATACAAATTATTTCCTGAGGTATGAGTGTTTTCTAGACTCCCACTACTGCTGCAGTTGCTAGTGTATCTTTATAAATGGCTACCATTTACGCAGGGCTTGCTCTGTCCTAAGTAATTTACCTCTACTATCTCCCTACTCTTATCACAACCTAAGAATTAAGGATGAATTAATATTCTCATTTCTTTGTTCAGACTCATAGCGTAGTTAGGATGGTTGCCTCATCACATAGCCAGTGATAGAGCTTGGATTGAAATCTACAGTTTATCGTTAAAGCTTATTCTCTTAACATTACATCAGTTTGTGGAAAAGCCAAGAAGACAAACACATTTCTCTTCTAACTAGATTAATAAATATCAGCAGAATGACACTATGCGAGAATTTTACATATAAGCGAACAAAGATTTACTTCTTAATAGTCTGAGTACTAAAGATTGATTAATATACTTTCTGAAATTGTAAACTTAAAAAGGTAGAAATTGATCAAATTTCAATGAAAATGATTATTGAACTACAAGAAAATAAACTCTGGTGGAGTTAAGATGAATGTTTCTTGCCAAAGTGAATTATAATGGACAATTATTTTAAGAGATTTTACACATGTAAGTAAAGTACAACCTAGGTACTCAAAGGTCTGGCATGAAAAATATTTCTTTAAAACTTAAAAGTACTTTGCAGTCTTAAGTGATAACCAATCATCAATGATTTCTTATAAATACCTAAAAGGAAGAAACTGTTAAAACATTTTATTTCTGGATAAAAGATCTGTAGATATATATTTCTTTTTATGTAGATATTTTTTAAATTAAAAAATACCTAGAAACTTATCGATGAATTTAGTACGGTTTTAAATAGGAAGATGGTTTCTTTCTCCTTTCCTGATTGCAAACTAACAAAGCATTGGATTATATAAGAAGCCCAAACCAAAGGAGTTAGGGTCTCTACAGAATGCTCTAAGAAGAGATTGGAAAGTGTAAGGTACCACTTGGCAGTCTGAGGACTGAGAGGCCGCAGCAACTGCAGGTTTTTGTCTCTCTGGCTGAAGAGGTATCTTTGCAGTCTCTGGAGAAAGCTCAGATGGCTGTTTGTGGCCTTCAGGATCATGTCCTGAAAGGGGAGCTATCTGAATGGAAAGAGATGCTGTGTGTATCTCAGGCACTGGGTTAGGGGGTGGTGAGCAAGGCCTTTTACAAAATGATGGTACTTCAACAGATTTGGAAAACTGTGGAGGATTAAAGGGGATGCTACTTCCTGGATCCTGGTTATGGATTAGTTTCAATGTAGAGATTCTCCGAGTCTGAGAATCTTGCGTGTAGTCCTCTTGTAGAAATGGGGTACTCATGTCAGCTTTTGGTGGGGAACCTGTGCTGGAAGGTGGTGGTAGTGGATTAGTGACTTTTTGTGTATATGACACAGTTGTGTTAGATTCTTCAGAATATACAATTGTCTGGCTGGACTCATCATTAGAATACATAGTTCCCTGAAGAGGTGTTTTGTTAGTAAAGAACTCTGTACAGGAGGGAATTTGTGTGTTAGTTACTAATTGGTCTAAAATGTCACCCTTTGTGTGACTGGTTATCAAGGAGCTACAAAAGCTCTCTTTTCTGGGTGGTAGAAGGGGTGCCTGGATTATCAAAACATCCGGAGAAAGAAATAATGTTGAAGGAAAAATAGAGAGAAAGTCAAAGTTAATCATTAAACCAGTGTTAACTCTACCCTTAAAGTAAAGCAACGTGATACCTTCTTATTATGCTATACATTTTGATGGCCAGATTGAATGATCATTTTTCCTTTGTTTAGAATGTGTTTTAATTTATTATCAATAGTTGCCCTCTGGAGGAAAATAGTTTTATAGAGAATAGAGAATACATTATAAAGTTTGTCTCCATCTACATTCTGGGAAATTAGGTTAAAAGTGAACATATGTTCTCTTGGCATATTTTTAGACCTTGAGGTATATATATATATATATATATATATATAGTATTTACTCACATTGTTTTGGTAACACTTTTCACGCCTGTAACACAATTTTACTAATATCTCCAACACAGAGTTTCTTTAGTTAATATAATGAGCAGTTGTATAACTCATATTTATTGAGTAGATAATATATTGCTGACCTCATAACTTTGAAATCCAAATCATCAGCTGACAATTTTTTAAGAATTAGAAAATATCTTAAAAATTATGTCAGAAACTGACCTGCTTTTATCAGCTGAATTAGAAAAAATATTCAGAAACCTGTTTTGAACTTAAGACTTGTCTTCCATGTTGTAAATACAAGTCAATACGAATACAAAAGCAAAACCATATCAAAAATGAAACATATCAAAATATGCATGTTACTAGAAAAGAGGCTCTAGAGCAGTGGCCTAATAGCCGTGCTTTAAAATAACACAGTAGACAACAGTGTGCAAGATTACCTGAGCTGGTGATTTTTTTTCTTGTAGATTTGGTCGAACGCTTCTAAAACCTTTTGCTGCAAGAGAGGAATATGTAGCATCTCCATTCAGTGTCTCTTGATTTCGATCATTGTAACATCTCCAAGCTTTTATTAAGGGAAAGCAAATTGGATACAAAAATATCTACATTCACTTTTAACATTTTTTAAATAGGATTTATTTTTTATTTCCAAAATGGAAGTTTTCTTCTTTCTTTCTTAAAAGTTTAATATACATAAATGTATATGCAGTTTAAGTTTACGGTAGGATTAACAATGTGGCTATAAATATGTTTTTAAAAAAACTCACAACAAATGTAGTGGTTATTCAGAACAGTTTTTTTTGTACCTGAGTCCGGTGACTGAGAATCACGCCCTAAAAGAAAAAGAAATGTTGAAATGAATACTCCAGTAAAAGAAACAAACAGTCGCGTAAAGATCATCTGGCCAAGAGCTACATGTATTTTTTGGCAAACGTTATCTCAGTTCTAAAACTCTGGGTACATCAAATAAACTAATGGAAGTTTGTGCATTTATTTTTACTCCAATTAGAATGTAATTCATTAAATATCTATAATATATAATTAACACATATATCAAACACTGATTTTTCCCTCAGTAATATTGCAGCCATTCAATTTTATCTTATTATTGCTTAAGCTGGATGAATTTCTAAATATCAAATTAAAGGGTCAAATGGTTTGTAAACAATGAATGCTTCTCCCAGCAGTGACTCAAACCACCAGATCCTTAGCTTTCAATGCCATTGATTTTTTGTAGTTTGCGGGGTTTTTTACCTTAAGAAAGTGTAAATACCCTACCATATTATGTGATACTTTCAAATTATTCTCTAGACTTCGAATTTTCTTTTTATTGCCATTTGAGTCATTTTATATTCAATTCTGAAAGAGCTGTTACAAGACATTCCATTGTCTTGCAGGAAGCATTTCAGTACTAATAAATTGCTTTTGATAATGCAGTTGGGAAGTGGCTCAATGACATGTTTACTCTCAGTTTTACTGGAATTATACATTCAAGTATCTCCTATAACTTATGAACAATTTTAGGTAATCAATTTATGTTGCTTGGCTCTATTATAACACATGGCCAACTTCACCTAGAATCATAAAGCCTTAATTTTGGAAAGGAACTTAGGGGTCATTCAGCCTAACCTTCTGTCCAGGTCCTAGATTCCTTCTGCATGTTCCCTGAAACCATTATTAATTGCTGTTATTTCAATGCCTAATAGAACATGAAAGTTGCGTGTAAAAAGGACTCTCTGTTTTCTTTCTAATGCTTAAGGAATAGTTATTTTGAAATCGAAATACATAAATTTGGAATGATAAACATTAGTTGAGAAATACAAGACTTTGATTTTTAGATAAAATATTTATAATAGATTCTTTCCAAATCAAAAGAAGAAAAATAAGTGTGAATTGGTACAGAGTGCATTAGAATGACTCCAGCTTAGGTGAGTTAGAGGAGACTGATAAATCTTCATTCTTTATGATAGTTGCTAATTTAGTATGGACTTATCTCCAAAGAACTCAAAATCAGAGTAATAAAATGGGTACCATGAAGTAAAAATAACTTTGAAAAGTTATACATGAAATATTTATTAGACTTTACTTCTAGGATTTGATGGAAGCAGAAATGATTGAAATTCTCAAGCACTTAAATGATGATGAGGACGCTCTATAAAGAAAGCAAACACAGTGTAGCAATACAGAGTGATCAGAGGTCTGCTTTGGGGCACCCAAGGAGAGCGATTTGATAACCACCTGGGTGCCACATACTGTTTGTGGACAAGGAACAAGTTTTGGGATTCGGGGATGTGGCAATGAAAAGAGAAACAGCATTAATAATAATTATTATTACTTAGAGTGTAATTATTTGCTTGAGAATAGGGAGTTAATTTTACTCTTGGTTTGATAAAACTGAGCTTATAAACAAGGGTACGTGCTGGGGATAGATGTGATAGAAGCCAAATGCTTGGAGGTGTGAGAGGTGTAGACTTGGTGAGGAAGAGGAGGGTATATTGAGCAGACTTGAAGGACACTTGAAATAAACTTCCTGTAATTGACAGTTTGTAGAGGGCCAGTTTTGTTTCTTCTTACTGGCCACCATATTGGAGGTTATGGAACCTTCAGTGGGATAAACATTAGGTGCAAGAATCAGAGGATAGTCACTCTAGGCTCAACTAGGGTCTATCCCTTTCCCCTCTTACCAGGCCCAAGTATCTCCAAATGAAACTGTACCTATGCTACAGGAAATATGAGATATTAATAATGGTGAGCTCTATGGAAAAGCCCTGCTTTACACTGTAGACACAAGTGTGTTGAATTATGAGAAAGGAGAAAGGATAAAAATGGCCATGGATCAAAACTTCAGGACAAAACCGTATTTTAATGAAACTTACATTAATGATTAAAATCCTAGATCCATGTCAAGTAAAGAGAATAAAGTTTTTTTTTAAGGGTTGATAAATGACTTGGCAAATGCATGGAGAAAATGGTTTTGATCAATATCATGAACATTATTCATGACCATTCACTTGTGAAAAACACAGAACTAGAATTCTAGGGATCAGAGCCCTTAATTTCTAGTATTCTTTAGTGGGAAGTCATTGCTTCTTTGAAAATTTAAGAATGAGGAAATGGGACAGATTTATTGTTCCCTGGCTGCTCTGCATGTGAAAATCAAGAGTCTTTGAGAACTAAGGACTATAACTGCTCTTCACTCTTACAATGAGCACTCCCTGCGTCCTGGCAGAAGGTAGGGAACACCTGTCAGAGAAGTTGTCAAGGCCTTCCTGGCTTGGTGTCGGACATTGGACTTGACGTCCTTAGAGGTCCTTTCCAACTTTATGATTCCAATACATGAATTGTCCATTGGGACTCTACTTCTTGTAAAATCAAAAGAGAAAGACAGGCTGATTTAGTGGACAAATAGTTGATGACTAGCAGCTCATGTTGACTCTCTCATCTGGGAGGAGAGATTGGGAAGGTTAGACTCTTTTGTGGAGGTAGTCTAACAGCCTCTACTTAAAGGCTGTTCTATTTTAACAATATTTAAAGCAGTAAATATTTATTAATCTTCCTTTGATTCACAAAAAGACTGTCAAATAAGTTCTTATTATGAAGGCTACCGTATAATGTGAGTGGGCATACAAAGAGGCTGATTTCTTTCTTCAAAATGTAATTAAAACTTCTTTGAAAAGGGGCTCATACCTTACATGTCTAATTAATACAGAAGAGATCTATTTTTAATGTAACAATTAAATCCAAAATTGAGGGGACCTCATTCTCTGGAACTCTTACTCCTATTTGATATAATGGGAGTGATACGAAATTTAAAATGGTCCAGAGCAACTACTAACTTTTATTACTGAAGATTATTTTATATTCCCAAAGTATTTAACATTTTCTAATATTTTGACTCTGAAGCATTAAATATATTATATTAAGTTGAGTGATATGAAATTACTAATCTTCTAGCTTTGACTCTCCAAAATGGCAGTCTCTAGCTCAACCTAATAGTATTCTTTCTGTGGTTACTTTTATAAATAACAACAGTATGGCATTTTTGAAGCATTGCCATGTTCCCTAGCATGTGCCTTAATGGTCCACATCTTAGTAGCTTGGGCTAGAATTTTACTTGGCTGAAATGTCAGTGATATTCATGGTATACACATTCCAACTACCTGATGTCCCTGGACTTCATTTTATTTACTTTCTTATTTCTCTTCATTTTCATTTCCCTCAGGTGTCCAATGTAAACACATTTGTAGTTTTTCTAACATTTTTCATGCTCACATACACATGAACAAACATGTACAAATACATATATAAAGAGAATTTTTTTCAAACCAAAATGAGATCATACTACATACATTGCAATGCAATTTACATTGTTTTAAAAAATGTAATATATTATGGAACCACCTGGCTTCGTATTTAAACTTAGACATTGAAATCTATTTATGGATTGGAGGTGGTGGGCAGGAGTGGGATTCTCCACATGGAAGTTTGTTTTTTTCCCTCAACGAAGCTGGGTAGTTTAGGATCAAGTGGCTTTAAAGCTAAGGACATCCTGACTATTTAATTAACGACTAAATGTATGTGTGTAAAAGACACTAATATGCACTGTGAGAATTAGAATTATTTAAACACTCTTCATCCCTTTCCCACTTCTGCTCCAAAAGCCATGACTATTATAAAAAAAAAAAAACCAAGGAACCCTCAACTAACCAACCAACAATCAAACCAACCAACCAACTAACCAGTCACCAAAACATATGGGTGTATTTCAGGGTCTAGAGAGGCCAGGGTGGAAGTCATGAGAGATTATTTATTATAAAGAGACTCACTTTAGTGAATGCTGAAATATCACACCCCCAGTTACTTTCTAGAGTATATTTATACTTGTGCGTGCATGTTAGTTTTAATTGGACCAAGATGTTTAAAAATATATATTAGAAGGTTCTCTGCTTATTGGATTAAAGGAAGGTTTAAAGTCTCTTTCAAAACTAATATTCTGTCATTATATTTGCAACCTTTGGTATAGAAGCAAATTAATAAAGATTCAGTTTCCTGCAAATCCCACTTCCTGACCCTCTGTGTCCCCAGCCCCCAACAATTTTTAGGTAAAAAACAACAAAAGCACCTGTGAGTTATCTTAATTAAATATTATATTCCTTTAGTTCATGCAATGCAAAAACTTCAATAGTTATTAACACTTGCATTTACTTAACACATTTTTGGCAAGTGACTGTTGTTTTTATTTAGATTTTTAAAATGTTTTCTACAAGATATCAGTTTCCTTTGGCTTTTTTATTTTTAGAGCAAAACAGTCATAAGGGATAGGAGCTATTCTTGAGACAAGAAAAATAAGAACTTGTGGGGCATTAGAAAGGTATTTACAGCCACGTTCATCATCCAAACAGGATAATTCTGGAAAGAAAGAAAGGTCAGAGAAAGGCATTCAAGTATGACATTCTGTGAGTTAGTGGTATTATACCTGCAGCCAATAGGTTTGGAGAACTTTGAACTCTCTTCACAGATGTTAATGTAACAGACATGGCAGCACGTTTGCGAGCACACCCACCGCTATCTGGAAGCAAAAAAATGATATAGCAGAGGCCACAGCAAAGGATAAAGCACATGCAGTATCATGCATTTTCAGTGAAATGTGGCAGACATCCATGAGAAAGGTGGTCAGAACTAGTAACCATGGAATACATCTGCAGAATTTACACCCACCCCAAACTAAAACAAAACAGAAGAAAAAGCCAGGGGTCTGTCTTAGAAATAGATGCCAATGATTTAATAAAAAATCAGATTTTATACTTAACATTTTATGGGTTTTCTTTAAATAACACACAGCTATAGAATTCAACTTTGTTTATACCATTTAAATTCAACTATTAAATTTACAAGCAGTGTAACTAGCTTTTAGAGTTATGAATAACCTGTATTTCAGGATTAAGAGCTACGGTATAACATACTTTTGTATCCATCATATAGGTTTTACTGTATTCTAGCTATTATGATTCCTGAAAACAGCTTGAAGAACCTCTTGAAGTAAAAGTTGTTAGCTGTTATAGGTATAATATATTTGATACATAAGATTCATAAAGAAAAACAAATGGTGTTATGGCAATACTGTGTCTTCCCATGGTTATTATTAGTTATGGGAATAATTTGCCTAATTGAAATAAAAAACAATGTTGATATATACAGTACTGAAATGACCATGTTTTTAAAAATTAGTTTTTGTACTTTTGAAACATATGTGTATGATCTATATATTTTCACTTATGCAAATCACAACATGAAGCAAAATAAGTGAAAATTCATCAGCTATTTTAATATGATTTGAGAAATTTAGCATAACAAGACTTCTAAAATTGGAAGGTTAATGTTCTATTTACGAACAGATTCCAATTCCATTCCCACATTCCTTTTTATTTGGAATGTGCAATAAATAGTTTTGCTCATTCCCCTGCAACCAAAAGAACTTAAATTTAATTCTCTTTGAAAGTTGTAACAAGAAGATGAATTCTTTAACCACCAATATTAAACATAATTAATATATACTGCTGCATGCTAGTCTTATATATTATTTTTCTTTATTTCTTAAGGAGTGTATCCACTTTGTTTATTGGATGTGAGAGAATTTAAGAGTGCTTGAAAGTATGATTTGGACTAATTGTTGGTAAAATCACAAGTAGTAAAGTCAGCAGACCTTAAAATTGATAGAATGATTCTCATGTCAAAATATAATTTCTTAAATATTGATATATGCTTAAAATAACAATTTCGTAATGCAGATAATAATTAAAACAGAAAAATGACTTGAAACAACATACGAAAGTAAATCAAAGACCAAATAAGAAAGACATAAATGGTAGAAACATACAACAAAATGTATCTTCAGGAGAGGCACCGATAGGATTTTAGCAATCTCTGCAAACTGAAAATAGCTACGAGGGATGAGTGTTTCTGATAAAATGCAGGTAATATAATTGAAGATGCAGTATATAGCAGCTATCAATGTCTAAAAGGGTTAAGTAGTCCAGGGTGTTGAAAGTGTAAATGGAAAGCTCTCTAAGAGATTTAATTTTCTAGTTCTTTTAATTTTGAACATCTGAAAACAAGCAGAGATGCAAAGGGAAAATTTCAGAATGAGGAGACCCAAGGTCACTGGTTAAACCTTTGGTTTCCAAAACTCTGTGTTGAGCACCCACCTCAGTGGATTCACAAGGGTTTGGGGACACAGTTCACAGTTTTGAGGAAAACACAGCGATATCTGTCAGACAGACTGCATACACCATTGTCCTGAGGTAGTTCCCAGCTTCAACATGAGAGGTCGTGTTATCTTCCTGTAAATGATGTCACATCTCTGTAAAGCTGGGTTTTTGGTGATTGCTGTGATGGAAAGCAAGTGCCCTGTGAAAGTAACCTGGACCAGTAACTGGGAGTGGTGACGTACAATCTAATTCCAAGTCTGAGAAGTTTTGTAGCATCCAATACGCACAGACATCCCAATAACAAGTAACTGTGGTTATAAAGAATGAGATAAAATGATTACTTTTCAGTTGAAGTATATTATTTCTTCAGATTGCTTCCGAGTTGATAGAACATGAGTACTTACTAAGTTGTTTGCACCTAACTACTTAATAAATGCAACTGTTAGGTACTTCTTTTGGCTTGAGAGTGTGGTGGAAAATTACTGAACTATCTTGGCACCGTAAACCAAGAAAGTGTGGGAACCTCTGGGTTAAATAATTTTTGTATTCTAGGTAACTCTAAGAACGAGATAAAATGACTGGAGAATTTGTCTTTATTAACAGGTTAATAAAGAGCTTAATTTGAAAAGTTGAGGCATTTGTGAAATTGCTGGAACAGAGAAATCTATTATATTCTGTTTCTACTTATTGTGTTGATACTTTCTGCTAGTTATTGAAGATACCTTTAAGATCACAAAATGAGGGTGCTGTCTTACATACTTAGATCATCCCAAAGAATCCTAATGCTACCGTTACCTTCACACTCATTAATGACCTGCACACTCTTCCAGGCAGCGGCAAGACTCTCAGTAGCTGTTTCTACTGCTGGAAAACACTCACAGGAGTAAACCACATACAGTGAATCATTTGATGTCTTATTCTCTTTCCTCCATAGCTAAGATTTTCCTTAGAAAATAGTGGATCGAAAATTCCAAGAGTACAAATATACAAAACATGCTGTTTTGTATATTTTTATACATTATTTAGATACTTTAGTATGAAAAATGTATCACAATTCCCTTGGCTCGTTTATTATGTATTTGACTAAAAACAAAGAGCTGCTTTAAAAGAATCTTTTTTTTAAACATTAGTGACTGAACATTGAAATAGTAATATATTCCTTTAATGATTGATAGGTATTTAAATAATGAAGACCCATTTTATTTATTGGATACTTAGGAACTAATTTCTACTTCATTTTGAGATACAGTGACAATGCTTTTTTCAACTTCCTACAGTATTATTTATATATATTTTCAAAAGTGGTATGTTTTTATAGCAACATTATAGTATTTTAACATTTTAAACAAAGGGTTCCAGTCACTTCTAATTAATTATGTATGCATGTGTTTGAATATCATCTTTTATATGCATACATAGATGTATAAATTCAGTCATATAATCAAAATTCTATGCAAATTAGCATTCCATATAAAGCCCAGCTTATTCCTTTTAATGAGAGGATGTTTAGAGGGTTATATTCATGCTGCTGTAACAGTAACTTGGCTCAAGTACCCTAGAGAACTAAACAAATTTACAAATTTCTATTTGCCTACTTTGTTATTATGGACTGAATTCTATGAATGGGAAGGTTAATTACTAAATGCATTGTAATGAATATGGCATATTTAGTATAATCACATATTATTCCTCTGTCATAATAGGGTTATAATAAATAGGAAAATCAGACTCCACAAAATGAAGGATATTGGGAAGTTATGTTCAACTTAGGTCTGCAGGAAAATGCTGTAGAACAATAAGTAAATATAACTTTCTCCTGTGCACGTCCTGCTGGAGTGATTTTGCAGTTTCACAGTATGACTTACCATAGCTCAGCTGTGGGCTCTCTATTCTATTTGCTTTCTTCAATCACTTTTCCCTAATAATATTTTCCTTTCATTTCCCGTGTATAATTCTGTCATCTCCAGTTGTCCAAATGACTTTTCTTTGTTCATTTCCAGGGTTATAATTTCTCTTGATTTCTAAGCCTTCCTTGTATATTTCAACTGTTTCCAATATCCTCATCTTGCCTGGTGCTCTACACACCTATGGGCTGATCGCATCTTCAGGGGCCAGCCGACCTCGAATTATCTGAGGTCGGTTACGGCAGGTTTCTGCTAAGGGGCAATAGCGCATGTCTCTACACTTGATCTAGGGATTAGATATTGGTTTTCACCAGTGGTTGTTAATCCTCCCTTGAGGCATTTTGATAACAAAATGTTTCAGCAAAAAGGCAACCAGCTTGACCTGAGAAAAATGTCTTCCACTATCCTTTCTCCTTTGCTGTGGAGTGACAGCACTAAAAGAACTTTCCAGTGATCACTTGTGGATAGGAAGAGCTATTTTTAAAATACAAATTACAAAATTTCAGTGAGACAGTTGTTTTCCAGAATTATTCAACACTGAATATAAAAATTTCAGGGGTAGAGGAAGGTGAAAATATAAGCTAAAATGCTTATATTATAGAAAAAAATCATATGTATCAAGCAAGTATCACAAACATTTTTACAGTTAATCTGTATACAGCACAAGAGTTCAGAGCATCCCTGTTATTAAGCTATTTGGAGATACTGTTCCCACATCAAAAAATATAATGCTTAAGACTTTAGGTGTATTGTGTCTGTGGATTAATTAAGCTGATTTCCTGTGAAGCTTTGGCAGTCTATCTACGGTCGCTGTCAACATAAAATGTTTACAGAACGGGGGATTTTAAATATTTTCTACTAGAGCAACTTGCCTATGAATTTAACCTATTTTAAGTGAGAGATTTCAAATGTATGCATTGAATGGCATGCTACCTCTTGCTAGGGTTTACAGGAGTTAATGTCATGATGTGATTACAGAGAAAGGGAGTAAGAATAGACAGCAAAATGGAAAAGTCTACTTTTGATAGCTATAAGATTAAAACACAAAAACAAAGAAATCAAGTAATGAATTTAGACTATCTAAGAAACTCAGTATCACATTTAGGATCAGCAGAGGGCTAAACTAATGATTTAGGGCCAAGATGATATTTAGAGAGCAAGGTTGAAGAGTTTAGAACTAACAGAGACAGCATACCTGTGTTCATTTTGACCTTGGAGGGTTTGTTATTAAAGTCTTCAGTTTTCCTGTAGAAAAAAAATGATGTATTAATTTGTTCACTAGCATGGGGAACAAAATATCATGAAAGAGTGTTTTTGTTTTTGTTCTGTTTTGGTGTACCTGTGAGTTAATATCACATGATCATTAGTCTTATTTAAATTAGAGTTTAATAAGGTGGCCAGGGCTTCCCTGGTGGCGCAGTGGTTGAGAGTCCGCCTGCTGATGCAGGGGATGCGGGTTCGTGCCCCGGTCCAGGAAGATCCCACATGCCGCGGAGCGGCTGGGCCTGTGAGCCATGGCCGCGGAGCCTGCGTGTCCGAAGCCTGTGCTCCGCAGCAGGAGGGGCCGCAGCGGTGAGAGGCCCACGTACCACAAAAATAAATTAATTAATTAATTTTAAAAAATTTTTTAAAAATAAGGTGGCCAGAATTTATAATTCTATTCAAGTTAAACTTCAATTATTATTGGTCTTATTATCCTAAACATAAACTTATGTTTTTGTTTAATGGTGACCATTAATGGATGAAAATGGGGTTTTCATTGTTAAAAATTAAATTGCTTTCATAAACATTTATAATAACAGTTTTTGTTCTCTAAGCCAGAAAGGATCACTGGTTGTTAAGCGTCCTCTTCCAGAATTTTAATAAGCACTCTGGTACTTTGAAATCATTACCTTACATTATTCAATTTATTATATTCAATTTGTTATAGAGTTAATTTACTACCAGGGAGTGTTTAATGTATTTAATATGTATGTTGAGCACCTAGTCAAAGAAGATAAGATTCATATATTTTTACAAAGATGCAAGAAATAAATGATTACTACAAAACCCACTTCTGTTTCAGTATCAGATATGGTGGTTTTTCCCATTGAAGTGTTTGCTGTACAACAACTGAGATTAATTCATTAGAAATGGTTGGGAAAATGGTGCTTGTTGTAGAAAAACATTTTTTAATATTTGTATTATTTCTTGACGTGTGAGATGACTTAGTCCTTTCCCTGGCGTATTCTCTTAGCCCATTTTTAGAGTTTCTTATTTATCCATACCCTACAACCAAAGAGAAAGGATAGGCTCTTCAGGAAGCAGTTCTTTTAAGAGGAAGAGCTCTCTGAAAGATGTTTAACCCTGGCCACTTTGCCTTGGCTCCTGAGTAGGGCCTGTTGTTAATGAACGTGAACTTCCCCTGCACCACACATTCAGTTTCCCTGTGCATTAGCACTCTAACATCCGATAGTTAAAACAATTTTTATCTATACCTCATGGATGAGTAGGGATAGGGTTGAAACGAAATCATCTGTCATGACCTGTCTAGAAAGACCTTCAGTAAATAAGTTTTTCTTCATTCTCTAAAAAGAGCACCAAATGAGCTTCCTGGCTTTCTTGTGTTTGCCTGTCAGGGTTCTGGCCCTGTCCGCTTTTCTGACCATTTCTCCGGTCCTCATATGTTCTGCTCTAGTCATCATTCATCATTTTCTTTCAACATGGCCATCAAAGTTCACCTCTTATAGAAAGCCTGGTTCTATTTAGTACTAATGTGAAATTCTAATAATAAAATTAAAGTATTCAATTGGGAAGACTGGACAGCTACATCAAAAGAATCAAACTGGACTACTTGCTCACACCATGCACAACAATAAATTCAAAATGGATTAAAGACTTAAATGTAAGACCTGAAACCATAAAACTTCTAGAAGAAAATAGAGGCAGTATGCTCTTTGACACTGGCCTTCATAATATTTTTTTTGGATATGTCTCCTCAGGCAAGGAAAACAAAAGCAAAAATAAACAAATGGGACTACATCAAACCAAAAGCTTTTGCACAGCAAAGGAAACTATCAACAAAACATAAAGACCGCCTACCAAATGGGAGAAGATATTTGCAAACAATTTATCTGATAAGGGGTTAATATCCAAAATATACAAAGAATTCATACAACTTAACATCAAAAAAAATCAAACAACCCAATTAAGAACGGGCAGAGGATTTGGATAGGCATTTTTCCAAAGAAGACATACAGATGGCCAACAGGCACGTGAAAAAATGCACAACATCACTAATCATCAGGCAAATGCAAATCAAAACCACAATGAGACATCACCTCACACCTGTCAGAATAATTATTATCAAAAAGACAACAAATAACAAGTGCTGGCAAGGATGTGGAGAAAAGAGTATACCCTCCTGCAGTATTGGTGAGAATGTAAAGTGTTGCAGCCGCTATGGAAAAGAGTATGGAGATTCCTCAGAAAATTAAAAATAGAACTACCGTAAGATCCAGCAATTCCACTCCAGGGTATTTATCCAAAGAAAACAAAAGCACTAATTAGTAAAGATATACACACTCCTACGTTCGTTGCAGCATTATTTACAATAGCTAAGATATGGAAGCCAACCAAGCACCCATCCATACATTAATAGATAAAGAAGATGTGGTATATATGTACAATGCAATATTACTCAGCCATAAAAAAGAATGAAATCTTGCCATTTGTGGCAACGTGGGTGGAACTAGAGGGTATAAGTGAAGTAAGTCAGGCAGAGAGACACAAATACTGTATGATTTCACTTATATGTGGAATCTAAAAAACAAAACAGGGAATTCCCTGGTGGTCCATGGTTAGGACTCTGCACTTTCACTGCCAAGGGCGTGGGTTCAGTCTCTGGTCAGGGAACTAAGATCCCACAAGCTGCGCAACATGGCCAAAAAAATTTTTTTTAATAATTTAAAAAACCAAAACAAATGAGCAAACATAACAAAACAGAAACAATCACAGATACAGAGAACAAACAGGTGGTTGTCAAAGGGGAGGGGGGGTTGGGGGAAGAGAGAAATAGGTGAGGAAGATTCAGAGGTACAGACTTCCAAGCTGCAAAGTAAAGATGTCACAGGTATGAAATGTACAGTGTGGGGAATATAGTTAATAATTATGTAATATCTTTGTATGGTGACAGATAGTAACTAGACTTAATGTCATGATCATTTTGATATGTATAGAAATATCGAATCACTATGTTGTGTAACAGAAACTGACATAGTGTTGTAGGTCACCTATACCTCAAAAACAAACAAATGAACAAACAGACTCATAGAAAAAGAGATCAGATTTGTGGTTGCCAGAGGCAGGGAGTAGGGGGAGGGGGAATTGGATGAAGGCAGTCAAAAAGTACAAACTTCCAGTTACAAGATAAATAAGTACTAGGGATGTAATGTACAACATGATAAATATAATTAACACTGCTTTATGTTATATATGAAAGCTGTTGAGAGAAAATCCTAAGATTTATCATCACATTGAAAAATATGTTATTTTCTGTTTCTTTAATTTTGTATCTCTATGAGATGATGGATGTTCACTAACTTATTTTGGTCATCATTTCACGATGTATGTAAGTCAAATCATTATGCTGTTTACCTTAAACTTATACAAGTGCTGTATGTCAATTATATCTCAATAAACTGGAAAAAAGTTATTTAAACCTACAAAAATTTTTAAATGTGAACACCAGCTAATTATAATGATACCTTCTACCCCAGGGTAGGGGGAGAAATGGGGAAATAAAATAGCATGGAAAAAAATACACATAAATGATATGAGATGTATATATGAACCAAGAAGAGAAGGATTTTATCTTTTTTACACCTAGATTGAATTACTAATACCCGGTACTCAATAAATACTAAAACAATGAGCATATAGAATGGATAAAATCACAGTACTGATGTTCATCCCAATTTATATTTTAGAGCTATAAACTGAAAACAACACAGATGACATCCTCATTATGTAGTGTTTTGGTATCACCTGATTGTGTATAGTGTCACATTCTTGCCCATCCACCCTGGAAGGACACTGCAGCAGTGTAGGAGAAGCAGGGCAGGAGTAATGTGTACGGTTGCCACATCTAGGACTGAGAGAATTACCACAATGTTACACTGAATTTTACGGTAAAATTTCACAGGCCAATTGACATTAAATAGAGAATGAAGGAAACTTTATTATGATGAGTTTTATCTCTTATTTTTCAGCTGGTATAAACAAAGAGGCACATTTCTATTTTCTTTTTCAGAATACAAAAATAAATGTGGTACATAGCTAAGTATGTAGCCTTAATACCTAATGTAGCCTACTTGGTAGCCTTAATACCGCCTGGATTGAAGGGATGCCAATGAAGTCAGGGAAGAAGGCAGTGGTCAGTGCAGGAGCCTTGAGAAAACTCCATCAGATGTATTTATTTTAATGTCTCAGGAGCAAAACTCCTAATACGTTAACCTTAAATGGACAAAATAAATGGAAAAGTAAAGCCTCGGGGGATGTCTGTGACCACGGCTGAGGCAACTGCTAAAACAAGAAGGAATAAACAAGTCTCCAGAAAAATGAGGACTGTAAAGACATTTCCCAAATTCTATTTATCACTCCTTTTCAAAACACTTGATGTTTAAAACTGTTTTAAGTTTTAAAACTGAATGACAAAGACAGTGTTTGAGCTGGAACAATACTGATTGATAAAGAAAACATCAAACAGAAGGAAAGTTAACTCTCAGAACACAAAACCTGCTACTCTAATAATGTTTTTATACCAAGTTAGGGAACTAATAATCAGCATTTGTTGTTTGAATTCAAATGCCGATATTTACAAAATATCTGACACTGAAAAAAGTAAAATTGGATTAACAGGAACAAAGAAAGGCGCCACAAATCCTTGAGCTTTTCATCTTTAAAGTGATGTATCCTGTTACTTATAAATGTAACACGTGAGGTTTTTTAGCTTCGCATTGTTTTAGATGTCAAAATGTGAAATGACTAACTTCCTAATCAGGCAAGACATTTTCCAAGTTTTAAAAGAAAAGCCACAGTGATTGAGCTCTGCAGAAGAACCCGAAACCGAAGGCTTCTTGGGTGACTAATAAAAATGCATGATTCTATTTCCATTATTTGTACTAAAGCCATTAACAAGTCCACAACTGAGAACTCTCTTTAGACAGTTTGAACTAAAGCGAATCTAATCTCTTTTGTTCTGTTCT